TCCGGATCGGTTCTTATCCCTTTGTGGTAGATAATGTGCCCCAAATACCATAGCTGATCCACGCAAAATTTGCACTTGTCTGGGTTTAGTCTAAGATGCGCCTCTTAAAGTCGGCGGAAAATCTTGGTGAGCAACTCGAGGTGTTCACTAAAAGTTTCGCTGATGACGATAATGTCATCCAGGTAGACGAAAACATGCGGCTCTAAATCTGGCCCGAGCATGGTATCCAGTAATCGCTGGAACGTCGCTGGTGCTGAGTGCAACCTGAACGGTATTACTTTAAACCATCCCGGGGACCGTAAACACTGTTACTGGTCTGCTTTCCGGCGTGAGTGGTACTTGCCAGTACCCGTTCTTCAAGTCCAGCGTGGATAAATACCGTGTCCCTCTCAATTTATCTAGTGTCGCGGGGATTTGCAGCAAAGGCTATGCGTCCTTATGCGTTGCATCATTAACTCTCCGGAAGTCGATGCAAAATCCATGCTTCCCGTCCTTTTTTTGATTAGCACAACCGGACTTCATGGACTGTGTGACGGTTCAATTACGTCGTCCGTTAATTTTCCTCACTTCTTCGTTGATGAATAGTCTGCATGGCCGGGTTTCGAGACCGGTATCTGTATTTTATCGGTGTCGTATTTTGCAGCCATATCTCATGCTGTACTCTATCTGTGATCCCGTAGACGTCGTCGAAACACCGCAGCTCTTGTTCCAGGAATCGTTACAGTTTTCCCTTCTCCTCTGGCGTTTGAATAGCCAGTCTCCTGATCGCACTGCATTTGGGCCCTCCTCGTAAGATGTGTTTCGGCGGTGGCGGTATCCCTTTTCGCAGTTTTGCCTGCAGATCTACACCGACTATCATTTCATCCTCCATGTGTGGGAGGATAATGAAGTTGTGCAATGTAGATCTATTTCACAGACCTATCGGCAGCTTCATTGTTCTGAGAGTCTCTCTTGATGACCCGTCGGCTAGCTGAACCTGCCCTTCGTCCCTCCGGATTTCAAAACCTTCTTCGGCCAGTCTCTGTGCCGTGCTTTCGTTAATCAGAGATATTTCTGATCCGCCGTCTAGTAAGGCTTCGAAATTCTGGTTGCAGATGTAGATTTTATTGTGCGAACGCGGTGTAAATCTTATGCGAGGGTCGAAGTGTCTTCCGCGAAACGGTGTACATGTTTTCGTAACTCCTCCAACGATACCGTGTCGTCCAATGGAAACGACTTCGTCAACGCGGTCAACTGTTCCTTGTTTAACCTGTACATCTACGCTTTCATTTTTATAATACTCGCTTCTAACTTTCGTCTTGCTTCTGATTTACACTGTTCGGACGCTAATGTCACGGACGACTTGCGCGAAACGCCGGTGGATAGTCGTAGCCGGGATCAGGATTTGGTTTTTTAGGCAAGCTAAATAATTGCTCTCGGTATTGCAGTCAGAAAATAAAATTGTTTTATTTGTATGTACGTAAAAAAAATACAAATGTGTCTTGTGTGGGAGTTGTATGAAAGAAAGTCATGTGCAACGCTAACGCGCGAAGTACGATGTGTATGATTCAAAACAAATGTACGGCGTGCGGTGCGAATGTACGTCTGAATATACAAGACGAATGTGTAGAATGAATGTGTGGTGTACGGTGTGACTGTACGGCACGTATGTACAATATGAACGTATACAATGTGTCTGCACGGTATGATTGTATAATACAGGTGCACGGTAAATAGTTGAAAATGCACAGGATGCAGTGTTAGCTCGGTGCGAATGTATAATATAATACACGGTACGCAATGTAAATGTATAATTGTATAATGCTGGCGTGAATGTGCGATACAATTGTTAGTTCGTGGTTTTAATCGCCGCAGAAATCGGAATGCGTTAAAGGACCCCGCGCGGTGCAGAAAACCCTATCAGCTGTTCCGCTGTTGTATTATCGTACGCAGTCGTTGACCGCGACGCGCCAGTGTTTTTCCGCCGTGTTCTTATACGCAGTCTTATTGCTATCTTCTGTTTCTCGATACGCGCTCTTTCTCGTATTTGGATTTTAAATTAATTATCGCGTGGATGGAAAATGCGGGATACGCCGTGCCGATGAAAACAGCTCGTCGAGCTCGTAGCTTTCCACTCTACCTCTCGGTGACTTGATTGCAACGGCGTTGCAACGAGATCTTGTGTCATAATCGAGAACACTCGATAATATCGGAGAGTGCTCCAATATTCTTTTCTGACAGAATTAGACTGCATTTTTGGATTTAGCCTTAGCCTGAAACCGAGAGAGCTCGACTTCGCTCCACCTTCTGTTCAACACTATTAGGCGTTTTCGGGATCGGAACTAGGTTCGGATTGTCTTGCTATTGCAATGCGAAATCGGAATGCCGGGATTACGCCTTTTTATATCCCGGATAATTAATCCCGCGCCGGCGTAAAAACGGGCCCCCACCGAGCGGCGGAAAAACGGTGTGGGAATGAATTCACTTGGTAGGGCGCGACGGAATCGGGCGCGGGGGTTATCACCCAGGGCTCTCCGGTCGCCTTCGACTATCGTCAGCGCGGTTTGCCGACGGCTTCGGCCGTCGATCGATTCGAAATTTAACGAATAATCGACACGGCGCGCCCCTGCCCCTGCCCGGCGATTGTTTTCCGGGTGGCAACTTCCGACTGATGTTCGGCCGAAAATAGTAACATCCACTGGGGGTGCATCGTTACAAGATATATAAACAGATACAGAAATAAGAGAAAAGAAGTAAATGAAGAAATAAGTATGGAGAATTGGAGACTTCATGGAATTACTAGGAAAAACGGAGGAAAGGTGGACAATGGAAGAGAAGAAGAAAAAATACAAGAAGAAAGAGAAGAATGCTACGAAGAAGAAGAAGAAATAACTAGAGAAGAAATGATAGAACAATTAAGGAAACTGAAAAAAGGGACAGTACAGGAAGAAAATGGAATAGAGAACGAAGCATGGAGGTTAATGCCGAAAGAGACAGGGGAAGTATTGTTTAAATTGTTGACCAAAATCTGGAAGGAAGGAGAAATACTGAAGGAGTGGATTAAAGGGGTAATAAGTCCAATATACAAGAAGGGAGACACGAAAAACTATAGGGAAATACTAATATGCTAGCATATGAAATATATGCAAGCATACTGAATGAAAAGATGAAAAAAGTGGCAGAGAAAAGAATGGAGGTGAGACAATTTGGTTTCAGGACAGGAAGAGGGACACCAGATGTAATCTTCACATTGAACTACATAGTCAATAGAGAATTATCAAAGAATAAATGTAAGATCTTTGCCTTCTTTTCAGACTTTATAAACTAGGAGAAAAGATATTCGCGGACGACTACGAAAAAAGAATAAAGATGTTCAATACGTTAGTGGGAAGCGTGGTTCTATACGGAGCCGAGATATGGGGATAGGGAAACGAAGATAGAATAGAGAAAATAAAGAGGAAATATATAAAATGGATATTGAAACTAGACAGGACACCAAATTAGAAATAGAGAGCGGAGGCCATTAAAAAAGCAGTAAAATATGAAGAAAAGGCAAGACAATCGGAGAAGAAGATAATAGTAGAATGTATGAAAGAAATAGAAAAAAGGAGAGAAAGTGGAGAAGAAAGTAAATGGGAAAAGAAAAGAAGAAATATTCTAGAGAAGGTAAATTGTCGCTTCTCATCTACTAATAAGCAAAGTTATCATGTCTCGATGGACAGAGCATTGCATGATTTATTACATCGTTTTTGGGAACTCGAAGAAATACCATCACGAGTTAATTCTTCAATGTCAACGGAAAAACAGGAATGTGAACGCCACTTCCAAAAAACTCATAGTCGCGATGAGCAAAGACGCTACAAGACTACCATTCAAGGGTAATATTGCTAAATTAGGCGATTCTCGAAGAAAGGTCCAAATGATTAAAAGCTTTTCGAGAAAATTTGCTTCAGATCCATCATATACACAATCCTATTCTGAGTTCATAAATGAGTATGAAAAATTGCAACACCTGAAACTCGTACAAGAAGGCTCTATAAACTCGGAATCCCATCATCACTACTATCTTCCTCACCACGGAGTCGTTCGTGAACGCAGCCTGTGACAACAAAATTAAGAGTAGTTTTTAATGGGTCTAGTCGTACAACCAACAGTCTCGCTTAATGACTTGTTACATTCAGGGGCAAAAATACAAATCGACTTATTTGACGTATTAATCTGGTTTAGACAGTTTTGTTGTGTATTCTCTTTGGACATTGAAAAGATGTATAGACAAATCAAGATCAACTCAGAAGATTGGGACTTCCAACGAATCCTGTGGATTAATCAATCCAACGACATCATTACCTATCAATTAACAACAGTAACTTATGAACTAGCTTATGCATCATTCATTGCACTTCGAACATTGAAGCAATTAGTTGACGAAGGAGATAAATTTCCACTTGCCATTCAAGTCTTAACCAAGGAACGCTATGTCGATGATTTATTCGGAGGATCTGACACCATTCAGCAAGCGAAAAATATAATCAAGGACGTTAATCAGCTCTGGCGGGCGGGTTTCCACTGCAAAAATGGATAAGCAATTACCCGTCAATTTTACAGTCAATTCCCAAAGACAAGCAAATTACTGCATCAACTTTATAAATTGAAGAAAACATGACGCTCTCGGACTTTGCTGGAAACCAACGACCGATACTTTCCATTTCACTCTTCAGTTGCCACTTACAAAGAAGATAACTAAACGAGCAATTCTTTCAACCATTGCCAAATTATTTGATCCGCTCGAACTACTCTCACCAGTCATTATCAAGGCAAAAATCATTATTCAGGAGCTATGGTCTGTCAAACTCGCTTGGGATGACCCGCTACCTTCTCCCATGTCTAATCGATGGACTGTCTTTGTCGAACAACTTCAAGAAATGCCAAGCCTAAGCTTTCCACGTTGGTTAGATTATAAATCGGATCATCACATCGAACTATACGGATTCTGTGACGCTTCTCAACAAACTATGTCTGCAGTAATCTATCTACGATCGACCTCAACAGAAGGAGAAGTACAAACTAATATAATCTGTTCGACCAAAACGAAGGTAGCGCTCTTGAAAAGAATCACAATCCCACGTCTGAAGCTTTCAGGAGCTGTGCTCCTTACCAAATTAACCTCTCACATAATACGGATCTTAGAGCTTGACAACGTTCCAGTACATCTCTGGACCGATTCGTCAATCACTTACACCTGGATAAATAATCATCCTAACCTAAGCATCCTTCATGCTGGAAAGATTTCATGCATAACAGAATTTGTTATATTCAAGAAACGGTATTTCAAGCTATTTGGCACTTTGTTCCAGGTCATGAAAATCTCGCTGACCTCGGTACGAGAGGTCTAACTCCCAATCAGTTATCTGAAACGTCTATGTGATGGACTGATCCTCAATGAATTCTCCAATAGCTGTCAATGTGGCCAAAGGAACCTCAGGCAATTTCCTCTAAATACAACTTAGAAGAACAACAAGTTCGAGTCTCCACTATCAATACTAATCACGCTATAGAACCGTGGAACCTTCTTAATAGATATTCAGATTTAAATCGACTTCTGCGTATAACCGCAGTATGTCGTCGGATAATTTATCGCTTTCGAAGAAAAAATAACTCTTCCCTTTACCAATTACTCCACAAGAACTGGAAGATGCAAAATTTTACTGGGTCAAGGTAATACAACAATATCATTTCCAACAAGAAATCAAGACACTTTCGAAAAGACAACCTTTGCCTAAATCAAATTCTCTTCTCAAGCTTACCTTTCATAGAAGGACTTTCTCTGAAGGACTATTAAGAATCGGAGGTCGACTTAAATTACCTTCGAGCGCTAAACATCCTTTAATTCTTCCAAAGAAGTCCACACTAACTCAACTTATAATTGCTGACGCTCATCTACGTACAATGCATGGAGGAACTCAACTCACTCTCTCCTTTATCAGAAATAACTACTGGATAATTGGAAGTCGAACTCCTGTACGATCTCACATTCTAAAATGCGTACGATGTGCTCGATCGACAAACGAGAGCACAACAAATATGGGACAGCTTCAAGTGGAAAAACTAACATCTTCTCGCCCGTTTCTAAAAACGTGGATTATGCTGGATCCTTTATGATCAAAACCTGGAAGGGAAAGAATGCAAAAACGTACAAAGCGTATCTAGCGCTTTTTATTTGTCATGCAACATCAGCCGTATCGAACTTGTAACTGACTATACTACGGATGCATTCATAGCCGCGTACAAACGATTTACAGCTAGAAGAAGAATTTGCGCTACGCTTATGAGTGATTGCGGAACAAACCTCAAAGGAACAGATTCGGAACTAAAAAACCTATTTTCGATAGCTTTCAAAGAACTCGGCAATCTAGCAGCAATATTGGCCAAGGATGGTACTCAATGGAAATTCAATCCTGTTTTCGCTCCTCACTTTGGCGGGAAATGGGAGGCAGGAATTAAATCAGTAAAGTATTATCTCAAGCGAATTATCGGCGATGCACTACTCGCATATGAAGAAATATCGACATTACTAACACAGATTGAAGCCGTTCTCAATTCTCAACCACTGAGCTCTCTCTCTGACAATCCGGAAGATCTTAATGCATTAATTCCCGCTCATTTTTTAATTGGAAGTGCGGCAGTAATCATACCAGAGCCATCGCTCGAAACCATCAAAAGTTCACGGCTTTCTCGATGGCAATTACTACAACAAATGTTGGACAATTTCTGGGTACGCTGATCTACTGAATGTTTACAAAGATACCTGGCTATTTACAAGTGGAATAAATCGGTTCCATCACTCAAAGAAGATTCTCTGGTACTAGTCATTGATGAGCGATACCCTCCATCGAAATGGTCATTGGGAAGAATCATTCGAACTCATCCTGGGAAGGATGGTCATACAAAAGTAGTCATCGTTCGCACTCAAATTTCGTCTTTCAAACGACCTATCGTTAAACTTTGTCCTTTCCCGATCTCAGTGGATACTCTTTAACTCATTCATTCCTTAACTCTTGTTAATGAAGGCGGGCGGGTATGTTTGGAAAATAAGTCATACAGAATTTAAGCCGTGCGCCAGTCGTCTGCTATAGATTCTCAATTCTTTTATTCTGTTTTTGGAAAAGTGGTGGCGCTCGGAATTGCGTTCTTTTTCCGGCTTCTTCTCCACGGCGTTCAGCCATATTCTTTTTTTCTACTCTGTAGACGCACAGTCACGTTTTGACGCTCCTTGAGATTTTCTAGAGTCTCAACTCTAAATTGGATATTGGTGATTGCTCTTCCCTCTATTTCATAGAGGAATGAGATTTGGAATTCGAAGAGCAATAACTCAAGGACGGATTCTCATTGCTCATATATGTTTATTGGCAAGACATTATCGAAAGCATTCGACTATACTGAAGCGAGCATGTGGGCTTCTGATCAGCATGCTGATTACTCTCTTGTTCAAGTTTTGTGAGTATAATTTCTGTTAGAATATATGGTACATTTATATTCTATCAAGTTTGATATGTATAGCGTCAGGTTCAGCTATAATGTACGCACGGCATGAAGCGTAAAAAAGAATGTAAGAATAGACAAAAACATGTATGTCTCCCCTCCCCGTGATACCTGATAGAACAGATAGCGAAGCCAACGTTTTGGAGAGTTAGTCTGTTCAAGAGATCCGTACAGAGCATGTAGCGTCAGTTGATTTAAACGGTTTAAATATATCCATTAATATAAGACAGAGACTTCTAATTATTGCTCCAAATATTACCATAAATCTTATAATGGTAGCAGAACGTGGTTATATTGGTTAGTTTGCTTGGATGATTTAATTATCAATGCTTATGGAAGTTGATCAAGAAGAAAAGTCTGAACACGAAGGAACGTTCGAGAACGCGCAAGAAGAAAAAATGGAAAAAAAGGATATTTCAATATCAGTGTTTGATGGAGAGGACTATAGCATGGAAAAAAAGAATCAAGATATTTTTGAAGTTTAAAAAATGTGATACAGTGATAACAAGGGAAAAGGCTGCATCCGATAGAGATGAAGAATGGGATGAGCAAGATCTAAAGGCCATAAATCTTATATATAGCACGATTTCGAATAAATAATTGGAATTTGTGAGTGAAGAGGAAACAGCTTACAAAATCATAAAAAAATTTGACGATATGTATTTGAAGAAATTAACAGCTCTGCAAATTGTGTGCAGGAATAGACTGGAAAAAAATGAGACTAAATAATGATTCGGCGTCATTTTTTAATGAATTTGAAAAAACAGTAAATGAGTTAAAAGGAGCGAGTGCTAAAATAAGTGAGAAAGAAAATTAGACTACATGCTCAACATGCTGCCAGAATCATACAGTTATATAGGTGACTTGATCGATACATTAAAGAAAGAAGATCAAACGGCCGACTATGTGAGGAATAAAATTAAACTAGCTGAAATGAAAAATCAAAATGAGCCCAATGAAAAAAGGACAAATGCATTTGCGGCAAAGAAAAATCAAAAGGGAAGCTGCTTTAAGTGTGGAAAAGCCGGGCATTTTGCAAGAGAATACCAAGATGGCGGCCAAGCAGGACACAACGGCGGAACATGGCGAGGCTCAACACGTGATCGCAGCCGAGGCAGAGCCGGAAGAGGCAATTACAGCAGGAGGCGCGGTAACTTCCGTGGACGACAAGGAGCGAGCACCAGCGAGCAGAGCGGATCAGGAGCAAGCGCATGGGTGGCAACAGTGCACGCGGCGCAGAGCAACGAAATAAACAGATTACGTAATTATGAGATAGAATAGTTACTCGATAGCGGTTGTACCGATCACATAGTTAATGACGAAAGTTATTTTGAGAATAGTATTATACTTAAAGAACCAATAAACATATACTTAGGAGATAATAGATCAATAAAAGCAACAAAAGTTGGAAATGTAGTAAGTTACTTTGACGCGTTTGGTAATCGGAATGAAGTAAATATGAGAAATGTATTTTACGCAAAAGATATGAATGCAAACTTGATAAGTTACGGAAAATTAACTGATAAATGTATTATTATTTCTAAAGGAAATGTAACTAAAATTATTGAGAATAATAAAGTTATAGCGGTAGCTTTCAAAGAAAATAGAACTTATAGAATGAAAAGTAAATTGAAATATGAAGAGACTTTTGTAAACAGTGCCGATCGAAACAATAACATGAGGAAAGATATAGAATCTTAGGTCATGTTAATTTCAGTTATCTAAATACATTATGTAAACAACAGTTGTTAGAGGGCATTCCAAATGAACTTGAATCGGAATTTATGAAATGTAAAACGTGTATAGAGAATAAGATGCATAATCTACCGTTTAATAATAATAGGAATAGAGCAAAAAGTGTTTTAGAAATTGTTCATACTGATGTGTGTGGTAGCTTTAAAACGGCCGGTTTAAATGGAGAAAGATATTTCGTCTCTTTTATTGATGATTATAGTAAAATAGCCAAAATATATTGCATAAAATCTAAAGATGAAGTTTTCAATTGCCTAGTACAATACATAAATGAAAGCGAAAATCTAACCGGAAAAAAAGTTAAAATTCTAAGGTGCGATAACGGGAGAGAATACATAAATAACCGTTTTTATAAATTTGCCAAAGAAAAGGGTATTATTATGAATAATTGTCCAGCATACGTACATGAGAAACGGCACTGCGGAACGGTTTATAGAACAATTATGGATATGGCACGTTATTTACTTGCAGAGGCACGAGTACATAAACGATATTGGCCTGAAATAGTATGTGCGGCGACATACTTGAAAAATCGTACATTAGCTAATACGATAGAAAGGAAAACTCCTTATGAAATATTTTTTAAAAGAAAGCCAAATGGTGAATATTTACGGTTATACGGTAGTAGAGTTTTTGTAAGAAAACCAGAACAAAAAAGATCTTCTAAATGGGATAAAAAGGCATATAGGAATTCTACTAGGATATAGTAATGTAGGCTATAGAGTACTTGTAAATAATAAGATAATAGTTGCAAGATATGTAGATACAGTAGAAGAGAATGTAAAATGTATTAACCTTGATGAAAATAATTATGATAATGAAAGCGATGCTAATATGGATACTGATTCAAATGACAATGTCTTTGAAAGTGCAGATGAAACCGAAGAAATCCAATGTAAAGTAAAGAAAAACGACACTAAAAATGTAGAGTTAAAAGTTCCACGTAGATCTACACGTGAGAAAAAAAATCCAATAAGATATCCAGAGAACAGTTCTAGTAATATTTATGTAAACTATTGTAGAGTAGATACACCTTATACATTTGAGGAGGCGTTGAATAGTAATGATAGTAAAAATTGGAAAATAGCTATGGATAATGAAATAGATTGCATAAATAAAAACAAGACTTGGAAATTAGTTGATAAGGTACAAGGTCAAAAAGTCTTAGATGTTAAGTGGGTTTATACAAGAAAGTCAGACGATAGATATAAGGCTAGGTTAGTTGTAAGAGGCTTTCAACAAACAGATGTAATTGATGACATATATGCTCCAGTAGCAAAAAATCAAACGTTAAAAATCTTATTTTCATATTGTTGTCAAAATGGTTTAAGAATTGAACAAATGGATGTAGAAACTGCTTTTTTAAATGGCAAGATTAACTCGGAGATATATGTGAATCAACCAAAAGGTTATGAAGATGGGACAAATAGAGTGTTTAAACTAATAAAAGCATTGTATGGATTGAGAGAAAGTCCTAGAGATTGGTGCTTCAATAAGTACATGATAAAATTAGGCTTTAGGAAAAATAATGTAGAATTATGTTTATACATTCATGGAAAAGATGAAGATATTATTTATCTACTAATATATGTAGACGACTTATTGATCTGTGGTAAAGATAAAAAGAAAATACAAAGTATAAAGAAAATTTTTATCTGATAGGTTCAAGATGAAAGATTTAGGAGAGATAAATGAATATCTTAGAATTGAAGTAGATTATAATTATTATAAGTACGAAATGAAGCTAAGTCAAACAAAATATATTGAGTCATTAGCAAAGAAATATAAAATACATAATGGAAAATTATATAGTACTCCAATGGAAACAAATTTAAAGATTGTGTTACGTCCAGGGGAGTTCACGATTCTTTTCTTTCCCGTATCTGATGCACTTGTGCACGATTTCCAGAGCCGTTAATAATAGCTAAATTAAAGCGGGATTCTCAGTACATGCCCTAAAATAACAATTGGATATTAACGGGCTATAAAAGTAGCATCCGGCTAAATAAAGTGGCAGTCAGTCAAACAAATTTGATATTTTCTTAAAAACTCATAAAATCTAAAGAAGCTATAAAAAATAAAGGAAACTAATCATAAAACGCGAGTGACCGGATATCGCAAGGGGATAGTAACAGTCATCCCTTGTGTTTAACAGATGGATACTGCAAAGCATAAATTACTACCACCTGTGATACTGAGAATCCTAAATCCTCCGTTTTGGAAGATACTCTCCTATTCGCGAACGAATGTAATAAAATTCTGATTTGCTACATTTGTTCTAAAATGCTCATAAGTAGGGGCAGAGAGGAGATCATGGAAATCTAACAAAGATTTCTATTCGTCAACCTTCCTTATTCCTCACGCTAGGAGAGGGTAATCCAAAACGATATATAAGCGCGAACTTCGCGCAACACTTGTCAGAAAAATTCGAACAACACTTGTCAGAAAAATTCGTTCAGTCAATCATTAATCATTTATTCATTCACTCACGCATTCATATACGCACTCAGTATCTTAAAAGTTTCGAGACATACATATCAACCTTCATACAGAGTCAGTGCGAATATTCAGTCGTTCCTGTCGGCTATATATATATAACGAGTCAACGCAGAACACCGTCTCGTCAACACAAAAAAGAGGGCCCAGCAGCCATTACGACCGTATTATCCATCTGTAATCGCCTTTCGCTAATAATAAGTCTTTTCTTTTATCTTCAAAGTTCCTTCCCCTCCCCCGTCTACTTCCTTTACTTATAATAATCGTTTCCCTAGTGGAACCCACGAGGAAATCCGCTAGAGCCCACGCTAAGCGATTTCGATACCGCCGTAATCGACGTACCCGCCGACTGCTGGCTCGGGCTGCGGCCGACTCTTCATTTGCACTAGACTTAAATCAAATAAACACGGATCTCCCTATTACGCGGATCTTTCTAAATAATTTTCAAGGAGACACGCGAGACTCCTCACATCCGCCCACTCGCACTCCTTCCCCTAATTACTCCCCATACCTGCTTCCCGGAACTCTTCCTCCCAGTTACTCCCCGGTGCATGACACACAACCTGACCTTCAGTCTGATTTCCCGCCGCTATCACCCTCTCCTTCTCCACCCGATGCAACCCTCCCCGACTCTCATTTCTTCTCTCCTCCCGTTCTTCCTCCCCCTGTCTTTTCCGACATTGATCTTAGCGATCGAAACGTCGCGGTAAT